TGTCTTGAAATTTTCCCCCTCCTTTTGTACTCCGTTTTACTTCGTTTTTTCAGTCTGCAAAATTTTGTCTGCTCATTTTCGACATAGTCTGAAATCACTAACGGCGGTAACATTTCGCAGAGCAAACGATCAGTTTGTTCCTGCGCCTCGATCAGCAGAGATGTTCGTTCCGCAACAATCCGCTCCAGGTTTTGAGCGTATTTTTCATTCATTTTGATCATTTGGTCCACAAGGTTACCTTTCCTGAAACGCAAATAATTCTAACTTGCATGTAAACTTGTGGCCACGGGCTCAGATTTCCAATAATTCGCCATGTCACCACCTACCACAGTTAGATGTCGGCACCTTAGGTAAAAAGTGTGTTTGAGTGGTCGCTTGCTTCCTCAGGGGTAACACCCACTAATGCAGAGGCAAAGAACATCTTCCCAAAGCTTCAGCTTCCTAGCTTGTCCGGTTACCGAGTTAGCAGTCATCCCGCCAAAAATTTGATGCAGCTCTCAGTGGAACATAGGAGTATGCACTGCTATTATGTTCCTGAGATATCGCTTGACTAGGGACTATCACTAGCAAAATTTCAGGAAGCTTGTCAGGTTGCCAAGTTTAAATACTCAGGCAGGCGCATCCAGACACATACATACAAATAGACACACATACACAAAAATACACACACAATGGGTTGTCACAACATGCGTTTTTGCATGTGCATAAATAAGCAAAATAAAAAACAAAATGAGCTTGGAAAACAGCTGGGTCACGAACTTCGTAAAACTCACGAGCTCGAAAAAACAGTTCCGATGGTCTGATGGATATTTCGAAGTTTAGGGCGTGCTTCCGGTGTAGCGTTCCAGCACTGACACATCAGTGATATTAACTGAAAGCAGTCGTTAGTTTCACAGAGTGCCAGCAACAAGATGAAATAATGAAAGGGGTTTTTCCTTTTCTAGCGCATAAAAGGTAACCAACTGACCGGGTCGTTGTCGGCATTAGCAACTTGCGGTCGCAGTGACTTATGTAATACGCTGTCAATTACTTCTGCAATTGAAAAATATTTCGTCTGCTTCTGCATTCACGCAAGAGAACAAAATGGCATTCTTTATCATTTTTGTTTCGGAGTTATGAAATTGGCTTAATTGTGGGCACGAAGTCAAATACCCTGACTTTGATTTTTGACCTCGCGCGTATTCAAAAACTTCCTCCGACGCCCCGAATTTTGAAGCTGTTGAATTTTCTGAATTTGAGCCTGCTTCAAAGTCAAAATACAGTATAAGCCAAAAAGTGCAAGATTTTCAAATTATATGGTTAAGTTTCAAAACTACATGTTTCTTGTCCCTAACTTATTTGAATTTCGATCGAGTTCAAATGTTCGTTAGGTCAAAAGATAAAATTGAGGATCAATACGCAAGGTAAGTTGAAATAAATGAAATTCGTGTGCAGCCAGAGGTTTCATTCGCAAAATTTCAGCTTTCTAGTTTCGTAATTAAAATCTATGACCAAAAGATAGGCAGATAAACGCATTCTAAGTTATGCCCAGATTTGTTTTTTTCTTATCTAACACAGAAACGCGTATAAAATTATTATGTATTTTTGGTTATATACAAATGCAAAAACGCATATGACCCCGGTGTATGTGTGTGTATGTGTGAGTGAGTGTGTGTGTGTGTGTGTGTG